CGTCTCTCACAGTGCGTGGACTCTCTAAGACATATTGTCTCTCATATTTGACAGGTTTGGGATTTTTTCATAGGGAAGATTTTAAAGAATGACATGTAAAAGTGAGGCTTAAGTCCCTCATTATCATCAAACAGATCTCAGTATTATTTGCTTATAGAAAAGGGTGTTGTCCACAGTGAGATCACTTTCAGAAAGCTACATTGTGCTTCCTTGAACATAAAGTTCATATAAAGTAGAGGCATTGTTGGCTTTCTGGGCTGCAAACACACATTGTTGGGTCATGTCCAGCCTCTCATGCACCAGCACCCCCAGGTCCTTCTCCCCAGGGCTGCTCTTGATCTGTTCATCCCCAGCCTGGATTGATACCGGGGGTTGCCCCAACCCAGGTGCAGCACCAGCACTTGGTCTTATTAAACCTCATGAGAATCCCATGAGCCCACTGCTCCAACTTGTCCAGGTCCCTCTGGATGGCATCCCATCCTTCAGGTGTGTTAACTGCACCACTCAGCTTGGTATCATCTGCAAATTTACATACTCAGAGCTTCCTAATCCCACTAATTATGGGCTTTTGATGTGATAATAGTGTAAGGCTATCAAAAATGAAAAATGGTTCATATGTACAGTCAGAGAGTAGTTTTCCTGATCTCTCTCACAAAAAAATAATATTTGATGTTGAAGCCAGTGAGTAAAGTATTACAGAATGGGAATTATTATGCATCCTTATTCAAGGATTATAATTTTATGAGAAAGAGGTCATCTCTAACAGAACTAATTTCCTTCCATGGAGTTACAGTTTGGTTGATATGGTAACTACGTCGATAAAGTACATTTGTTCTTTGATGAAGTACATTTTTTCTTAGGAATTGTTACTACATATTGAATAGCATTTTCATTAAAAAGTAACACTCTACAATGGATTAAGAGCTGACTGATCTCATGTAGCAGGTGTCAGTGGAAAGTCATCATTCCCAGTGAAACTGTAAAGGGATACATAGAACTTCTGGTGTTATTAAAAATTTCCATGAACCACATGGGCATAGATGCAAAATCTTTGCTGATAAAAATTGTGAATAAAGCAAAGGATTGATAGAATTTTATATAAAGTTACAGACAAGGAAGAAGTTTTAAACAATATGTATTTAAAAGCAACTTCAAGCTTGTACAGATTTGAATGACATGGCCAGAGGGGACATAACAAGGAGCAGAGGCTGAAAGTTCAGGTCAATCAGTTGTATCTTCTCTTCTGCAAATCTCTAAATGTTTATAAATTAGCAGATTTTGTGCATAAAATTTTTATAAATTTTTTTAATGAATGTTTATAAATTGCAGTGCAGATTTTGTTACTCTCCCTGCCATTTGCTCATTGCTGCAAATCCTCTGAGCATCACAAGTATTTGCTCAAAGTTTGGCCTGGAAGCAGTGGAAAGAACAGGCATAAACAGTTTCTGACATTAAAATGTTCACCTATGTTGGGGATCTCACAGAAAATCTCCGCAGGAGAGGGAAAACTTTTGTGTTTTCTTCCCTAAGAATGTATCCCTAGGTGTAGCAATGAGACCTGGTGGCTGGTTGGGTATGATAGATATATTTTCAGTCCTTCACTCTGCTCCTCTGGACACACAGCTGTGCTGTTAAATGGGGTAGTAAAGCACCAACTTCATTTGTGCCTACCTGAATTATTTTGTAGCTGGAAAGTGAAGCATTGCAATAATTTTCTTTCCCTTGTGGACTATTTATGCTTGTGCCTTAGATGCAGGTAGGAAGGGAGGAGCCAAAAGGAGCGCAGGACATTTGTAAAATAAAAGCCAACGTTAGGCCACAGTTCTTCAGAGCTGGAAGAAGAGGACAATATTGTTAACTTTGGCCTTTCTCTTTTCTGTGGCAAGAGAGTTCTGCTCCAAGGCCAAGCTCATGAGTTTGCTGTATAGTCCTGTTTCCATAATATGAGCTAAAACCAGGAAGATTTTGCTAGCTCATGCTGCTAGGAAGCCACAGTTCTTTCTAATTGGAACTGGTGGAGGGTGTGTAATGTGTGTGTATGTTTGTGCAGTGCATGCCTGCCCACGTGTTCATACCCAGGGGAATGGCTTGAAGTTGTGTCAGGGGAAGTTTATCTTGGATATTAGGAAAATATTCTTCACCCAAAATGTATTTGGACCCTGGAACAGGCTCCCCAGGACAGTGGTCACAGCACCAAGCCTCACAGAGTTCAAGAAGCATTTGGAAAACACTCTCAGGCACATAGTGGGTTTCTTTGGGTGGTCCTGTGCAGGACCAGGACTTGGACTTGATAGACTTGACGATCTTGAAGGTCTTTTCTAACCTTAGTGGTCCTTGTGGACTCCTTCCATAGAACTCTAGATGTTCTATGATTCTATGCTATTAAAGATTGGAACGATAAGTCATATATCTATAATTCAGACTTTGCCTCCTTGTAGCATAAAGATGTACACTGCTGTGTCTGAGATATTTTATTCTTCCATGTGTATCTCTCAGGAGTCCTGGCCAGAGAGGTGAATGACATTTTTGTGATTTTATTCATGTCTTCCATTTGTTTACTCTTTATTTGGTGTTTTTTTTCAAAAAGTTTTTGTTTCTTATATTACTTATTTTATTCCATAGCCATATTTACTCCAGACCAAGACTGGGGCTCAGAAATGATTTTTACTGCACTGACTCAGTGCCTGTAACCAAAACAGCATTAGTTGTTAGAAAAGCCAAACTTTGAAGGATCAGTATAACATTTGCCTGGGGCATATGACACTTATAATCAAAGCTTAGTTTTGAACAGGTGTGGTAGGAAAAAAAAATAAATTTTATCTGAATTTTATCTGTAGAAACAATGGATAACACACGCTTGCATGAGTAAACAGTGCCTGATCTCCCCCGCTGCTGCAGCAAAGGGGCGGCTGGATGTGTCTGACTGCTTTTACTGCTGCATTGGCTGTTGGAGCTTCTGGCAATGGCTTTTAGGGTCCCCTTTCTCGCCACTGAAATGTGAGTGCTTCATAAACTGGACCAAAAATTCATTAGAACAATAAAGCAGAAAAAATATTTCATTGCTAGCTTAATCAAAGTTTGTGGAATATTGGATTTTTTTACAAGGAGACAGAAAGCAGGGGGAGAGATATAGGGCCTGCTGTCAATGCCCTCAGAAAAGTCTATTTTTTTCTCAGAATTTCAGATGTATTTTTACAAAAGATTTCAAGGCAGGCCTTCTGTAGAAAATCTTCAGAGAGCCCTATTAGATTGTGCCCCAATGATGAGGGTGTTGCCTGGACTTGGGTCACCTTCATCTGCTGGTTCCCCATCCCTTAGGGAGAGGTTGGCTCTTGCAAGCACAACAATTAATAACACCCAAGGAATAACATACTAAGCTCCAGGTGGAGAGGATACAAAATACCATCTGTACCAAGAGGAGTATTGCAACCGCAGAGGATGTGTGTGTTACCATGGGTGCTACTGGGCAAATGAAGAGGGGGGACTTGGCTACGTTCACCTGATTGGCCTTTAAATCAGAGAAAGGACAACCTTTTGTTTAAAGAGTAAGAAGTCAGGGGTGCAATTTTATCATAGAATCATAGAATGGTTTGGGTTGGAAGGAAGGTACCTTAAAGATCATCTCATTCCAACTCCCTGCTATGGGCAGGGACACCTTCCATCAGACCAGTGTGCTGGTCCTGTGCCAGGGCCTCACCACCCTCACAGTAAAAAATTTCTTCCTAATATCTAACCTAAATCTCTACTGTTGTAGTCTAAAATCATTCCCCCCTTTCCTATCACTGTCTACCCATGTGAAAGGTCCCTGTCCCTCCTTTTGTAAGCTCCCCCTTACGTACTGAAAAGTGCTATAAGGTCTCCCTGGAGCCTTTCCTTCTCCAGGCTGAACCTCAGCTCTCAGCCTGTCTTCACAGGAGAGATGTTCCAGCCCTCAGATCATCTTTGTGGCCTCCTCTGGACCCACTCAAATAAGTCCAATATATATCGTTATATATAAATAATATAATATTTGTATACTTTTATATATATTGATACATTGTTGTTGTTGTTATTCCAATATATATGGTCTTATGGTATAGACAAGATTTTATATTCTCTTTAAACTGATTCCTTGAACTACCTGTCCCCATTGTTTACAATTACCTATTGATCTGGGAAAACAAAGCATAAATAAAAGTGATTTCAAAGGTGTGACAGGAAAGAGGTGGATAGACAGTTCTTTGTGGAAAAGCATTTGACTGTGATTGTGTTGACACTAATTGGGAGCATGAGAAATGGCTGACAAAAGCTGGGTATTTTCATGACTCTTTGAGACGTGTGTATGGGGTGAATATTTTTCAACATTTTAGTCATATTTAACTCCTTCTTCTTGAGCAACCTCAAGGAGCAGACATGTCGTCCTGGAGGAGTGTTAATATGGGAATCACACATAACACAGTAAGATATAGAACAGTGTGCCTCACATTTTGTCCCTGGCACACTCTGAGCTCTGGATTCCCTTTCTGTCACACATTTCAGGTTTGAGGTTTTTCTGTGTAGGAGCTGTCCTTTCTGAAAAATTTGGGCAGCACCCCAATGTCAGCTGGGCTTTCATAACTTCCCTTCCAACCAAGCTGAGAGTAGAGTCACATTCTATATTTTCTTAAGTTTTTGTGACTTTCATGCAGGTTTACAGACAGAAGAAAGATAAAAAACCAAAGTGTTATCCTAGGTGAGGGAAAGGCTCAGGTCATCTATTCTGCTTGTCTTCTTGTCTAGTCAGTCAGAAAAAAGTGGCTCAAACTCAGACACAGTATATTGGGTCTTTTGTTCATCATGCAGGTAGGGAATAGAAGAGAGGAAGGGTATTTAGGATGTGCAGAGACGGAGGCAGAATTATTGCTGAGGGACCACGTGCAAGTGTTGAACAAAACCCTAAGGATTAGTCTTTCCTAGTTCTATGGCTTCCAAAATTATGTCTTTCCTTGTGATAATTTTTTCCTGGTCCTTTTGATTTTCAGATGTCCTGTGTCCAAATGTCCATGTGGAAGGAGATCGATTCAAACACACCAGTGGGGGGACTGATGAGATTCCAGGTAAACAGACAATCTCCTCTCTGTATCTCTGGGAACTGAAATAGTATAACTGTATGTTACTAGTGTGATGCTCTGATTCATTAATCCTTTCCTAGTTAGAGTTTATTCCAATATATTCATTTATTTATATTTATTCCAACACATATTCAGTGGCAGATAAGTATATTAGAAACAGTTGGACTGCAAAAGAGTTATCTGTTGACAGTCAACAAGAAATTAATAGAAAGCTTTCTTTTGATATGACTAAAATTAAAAAAAAATATATGAAGCTTGTTTTAGTAGCTAGAGGAGTGCTATAAGTCTTGGAAATCACTTTTTTTTTAACAGTCTACATTTAGTGAGTTTTAATGTCCATTTATTTGATCTGTGATTGTTGTGGGAAAGCCAAGCACAATGGATGAACCACTGAAGAAATGCTTATGCGTAGATAGATAGATAGATAGATAGATTGATTGAGACCCCTGGTGGCCTAGTGGTTAGCGTGCAGGACTTTCACTGCTGCGACCACGGGTTCAAATCCCGGTCTCTGGCCTGATGGAGGTCGTTAGCCCTGTGTGGCCATCCATCTATGAGAAGGACACTCTAAACAAACCTACGTCCTGAGGACCTCACTGCCATTGTCCAAGCTTGCTTGGCCCCGGCAGATGAACCTTAGGATTAAAGGGTGGGCTCAGTTCAGCGCAGGCTGTGTCTCACCTAAAAAATCCATTGCGCAGGCTGGAAAGGTAAAAGACCTTTCCCCAAATCTTCGTTCACGAAGATGGGCCATTATTATATTATTATTATAGATAGATTGATATAGATATATAGATATAAAAGGATATTTTTTGAAGCATTCATGAGCACTGCTGAAATATCAAGAGGAAAGCCAATCTGGTGATTTCTCTGCTTTTTTTTGGGAGCTCTGATATATCTTTTCAGCCAGTTGAAGGGCTTAATCTGTCAGATATATGCATGGATTGTTCCTCTTTTCCAACCCCCCAAGACTGAGCTGTTGGCAGAGAAAACATGCCCATCAAGGATGTATTGGGAATATCTGTGACTGACCCAAGAACTTAAGTCACTGCAGTGGCTCTTCTGCAACTTGATTAGAAGTGGTCAATGTTTGACAGCTTTGCTACTTGCAGTTTTTTCACTGGGGGATTTTTTCTGCCTGCACAGAGTATCAGCTCCAATTGTGCTGTCTGTAGGCAACTTATTTTGGCTGCAGCCTGATTACATCAAAGCCTGTGATAATGTTGGGTGGTAACATCTTTTCTGGTCGTGAAGCCCAAGCTCATAATCCCCAAACACCTATTTTGAACTGTCTATTGATAGGTCTTGAATTAACCTGTCCTGACAGTCCTCCTGTCCCTGGGCTGGGCAAACTTCAGAGCTGTTCAGCAATAGCCCTACTGATTCTGAATGAACCTATTTGCAGTAGAGGCTGCTGCTCAAAATCAGTAGAAGGATTGTGTCCCTTCTCAGATGATCATCTTCTATGCGATTGTTTTCAGAAGAATGGAGTTAGAAATGGCTGCCTGTATGTAGTCCATGTTTATCTGAATTTTGATTCAAGTTCTAATTGATAGACTTCATCTGACTTCAAAAATATATCTCCTGTTGAGCAATATAAAGGTCAAAAATCCCAATTCAGGTCTGTCACAAAGGTTTTGAGTAGAGTGAGGTGTAGATGCTTATATGCAGTAATATTTATATGTCTGTGTGTGTATATATGTACATACACACAGAGAGTTAGGCTCTTTCATAATGTTTTTGAGTTATTTTTCCTTTTATCTTCAAATCCCACTTACCTCCTATAAAACAAGTCAATATTCAGCATTTTAACTTAAAGATGACTTTTCAGTCTTAGATCTGTATGTTAGTTCAGGTTGGAACGGTCCCATGGAAATCACCTTGTCCAACTTCCTACTCAAAGCAGGGTCTACCCTGAAGATAGATCCACTTTGAAATCAGATCAGGTGGTCCAGGACCTTGTGTAGTTCAGTTTTGAGTATCTTCAAAGAGGGATAATCCACAGGTCCTCTGGACAATAGTTCCAATTCTGTCAATATCACACTGATTAATTTTTTTTCTATAATAGGGAATTCCCTAAGTAGAATTTCATTTATTGTAACATATCTAGTTAGGCTAATAGCTTAGGACTGTCATTTATTTGACCTAAGGAACCTCTGTTTACTGTAAAGTGTAAATGTTCACCATAACATACAGTGGTTTAACAACAGGATAGTTACACTATTTGATTAAAAGTGATTATTCCAACAATACATAGTATTTATAGGAGGCTCCTGATTGATTCTACATGGTGAGAAAATTATTTTTTTCTGTTCCTGTGCCTGGTGGTTAGGAAAATGTATGCCTCTTCCCTGGAAAAAGTGGAATGGATATTCTGGGTCTGCTAAGGGTTATTGTGCTGCTGGAGATGGGTCATATAGGACCAAAATGCTGTTCCACTCCTTATGTGCTCCTTAATTAGTCTGTAGCATTTTCTGAAGACTCTGCACTGAAGGGTGCAGAGTTGGGTTCCTGGGTCCAATTCCAACAGAAAATCATTGCCTCCTTTTAGCTACACCAGAAAATACACAGCACTGAGGGGGATGGTCTCCCTCTGCTACCCAGGTCCTCATATGCACAAGGATTTGGAAGTAACGCCTGTGCCTTGTGCTCCAGTTGGAACCAGAAGTGATCTTTGCCCAGCAGGCTTCTATTTTTACAGTAGAAGCAAAAATAGAAGTTAAAACATAAAATGAGCTATAAAAGGAGAAACTTTGTGACATGGAGGGGAACAGTGGCGTGACTGAGGTTGAAGATGTATGGTAGTTCATTAAGACAGATGTATGGTAGTTCATTAAGTCAGAGGCTGAGAGTGGGGATGAGGGTAGTGAGGGTGGCTCCATGCATAATCAAATAATTGCAACAAAAAACCACATCTGATCTGGAGGAGAGCCAACACTCTAAACTGATATTTTCCTTTTAAACGACAGATGATTATTTTTCTTTAGACAAATAGGACTAGGTAAATCTCACCTATCTGAGCTCCAGCAAGCATTTGTTGAGTACTGTATTGAAAGTCACCGCTAAAGCAAAAAAGGGTAGAGATTAACAAGTGTAAAGTGAGACAGAAACTGGCTGGCAGGGAGACAATTATGAAGTTTCTAGGAAAGGGAGTAACAAGTCAGAGGGAAAGTAGTGGTGAACTTCATCAGAGTCCAGTTTTAAGTCTAATCTCTCCTGTGAGTTTCCACTCTACAGATCGGGATCAAATATCCTTGAAGGAGGAACAGGTTGGCCCCAAAACCAGGTAGTTTTCCCAATTGACTTGGGACTATTAGTCTAAAAGGCCTTTTATGGCAGGTATGGATCAATAACAGGACTATAAACTCATACTGTGGAAACTGATGGTGTCTCAGTAGATGTTTGTACACCACAGTGCTGTACAGCTGGGGAGAAGACAAAGGTCATTATTGGCAGGGCAAAGTAGGGAAGAATTCATGAGACTGGACAGGCCTTTGGTTACAGCTTATCTAGAAAAGGGTGCTCCGACATCTCCTTAGCTCAGGAAAGATGGATTAGGCCTTGAGGAGCTATTAGTGTGTTCAGGAGACAGAGACAGGCGAATAAAAATCTGGGTTTGGCTAATCTTTCAGTGTGCAGGTGGGAAGGGGAGATACTAACTCTTCCGTAAATAGATAGGGAACAGCAGGAGGGAGATAGGGGAATCACTCAAGCTAAAGGACAAAGGCAATAATAAGAAATAGCTATCAGCTATTTAAGAGACACATTCAAGGAATTAGAAGAAGATTTCAAACTGTCAGAGATATGAAGTACTTGGACTAGAGGTGAAGTTGTACTAATAGAGACAAATAAACAGCAGTGGATAGTCATGAGTCCTCTCATAGTCGAGGTTTGTACTCTATGACCCTCTGGTATCAAGGCTTTTAAAGAAAAAGTCACTAGCTGAGGCATTCTGGAAGGGCTGCTACAGTGAAATCAGATTGCATGAGGCAAGAATATATAGGCAGCTTTACTACTGATACAAATTTTGGCAGTGAAGTGAAACAGCATCTGCTTAACAGTACGTAACATGAATTCAGAATATAATATTGCTGGATGAATTATCACACAGGGAATTTTGAAAGAAAGCAAGAAATCTTGGTTAGAATATCAGTATAAACACTATTTCTTTTCCATAAAATCTGATATTTTAAAGCAATGCTTAATGATGGTTTAAGAAAAGTTCTTAGAGCATTCTTGTGGGTGCTACATTTGGTTTTGTTATTGGGGTTTTTTGGAGTTTTTTTTAAGAGAAATGAAGACAAAAGAGGATTTAACTCATCTGCCCTAAAGTATTCAATATAAAACCCCACTTATAATACTTAATACCTCTTATTATGCTGAATTGTCATTTTCATTCCATCGGCATTTAACAGAGGATCATGACCAGGCAGGAAAACACAATGATAACCTTTTGCACCCTGAAGATGTGCCACTTGTGTATTTTTATGAACAGTAATATGGCATCAAAACAACACATGAAAGTTATTCAGAATGAATTATACTTCTTGAGGTTTTAGAACTTCCCATTTGAATGATTTGTATTTTAAACTAGACCTGCAGGATATGGGATTTGGTTGCAGAAATCGGGATGATCCCTAGAATTAAGAATGAGCTGAGCTCTAGTCCTGAGCATTACTTACCAGAGGAGATAATACTCCTCAACAGATACTGACTGCTGCTTTCAAGGGGAATCTGCCACAGAAGTAAAGAAAGTCTGCAGTGATTTCCACAGAGTTCAAAAAAATAAACCCTGGAGAGGGATAATTCCAATCACTACATAGCATTATCCATCCCACACTGGATAGTGTTAATGGGGTAAGGGAGGAACATGAAAGCCCTGACTTTAACTTCTAAGTAGTCACACAGGCTGTGTGTGAACAACAGCAGAAATTGCTTTATGGGTTGTACCACAAATTGACCTCAGCCTCCACCTCTCTTCCCCA